AGTCTCCCAAGGATTGTTTGTATGTTTTCGGTTCGTTGCTTTTTTGTTATAATATCTATCGTTTGGAAAAAAAAAAAAAATGGCTAAGTTTTTTAGCTAAATTCTTCCAAGAGAAAAATTCATTCAAAGAGTTGAGTGATAATACAAGAAAGTGTTCTTGAAAAATTTCCTTATGAATATATATTCCATACTTATTGAATAAAACCGAGTAGTTTCTACTAGCGAAGGAACTATTGTCGGAATCGGACTTCAAAAGGTGGATACGATTAGAGGGAAGACATTTGGATTCCTAAAGTGAGTAACCACAAGAAGTGATCGTTACCAAACCGGGAATTAATTTCCTCATACATCGTCGGTTTTGAAGGAGTTCAAGAACAAAGGCAATTTTTATAAATTACATATCAAATCAAAATTAGTAAAAGTTACTAGATTTTAAATGATGCTTATTCGTTATATTGTTATACTTATGTACGGAATAAGTATTTATAAGATAAATACTTATAAAATTTTAAATTCCGCTGTAAACTCTGTTCCGTACGGTATATCGAACCCAACAGTGGTAAAGAGACACGTTACGATTAACATCTTTAAAAATAGATTTTGATTTGTTTAAGTTTATATGATAATTAAATGCTTATATGATAACATATTAATTATCAAAATAAATAAAAAAAAAATTCGATTTTTTAGCCACACGGGTCATGTGAGGTGTCACACGGGTCGTGTGGCTCCACACGAGCCGTGTCCTTGAGCCACACGGATCGTGTGACTTAAGGAAAAAATTGATTTTTTCTTACGGGTTTTTCACACGGGTCGTGTGGACTCACAAGGGTCGTGTGACTTTGTCACACGGGTCGTGTGACTTAATAATTTTATTTTATTTTATTTTATTTTTTTTTTATGTTTTAATTCATGTGATGAATGGGATGATCATGAGCCTTTTATTCATAATGATGAATGATTGCATTTTTATTCAATATGATTGATGGTTGCATTTTTATTTAATGCGATTAAACGAATGTAATTTATCGAGACCTGCGAGTCTCTTGATTTTTGTTTGTAAAATTTTAAATTTTTGTATCGTTAAAAGATTAGATCAAGGTGGAGACCGTTCGATGCGAAAGGCCCACGCATATGTGGGTAATTTTACAAGTTGTAAATCTCGAAGGCCTGCGCTTGTACGGGTAGATAAAATAAAATTGTAATAGAAGTAGTTCTATTTATTTGTTT